GGTTTTTGAATAGAATCGGTAAGCATCGGAAAGAGCAAGATGAGGTCTTTCTAATGGTGTGAACATCATCACATTATAAGCAAAACTTTGCGAGAACTGCTTTGCATCAAGCATGAGGCAACAGAAATCGGACAGAACTTTTGAAACAACCTAGTATGTCTGTATGTGTGTATGTTTCGAATGCAAATGTTCATTCCTGAACCGATCCGGACAAAACTTTGCACACATATACTTTGGGACAGGAGGGGTGTCATAGGCTACTTTTGGCATCGATCGATACCGCTTTTACCGATCTTTTCAAACTTTTTGCAAAAATTGCAAAAAATTTGCAAATTTGCAATCTAATTTTTGTTTATGGGGCTAGGAGCTGGTACAGGAGGTAAGTGAGCATGCTGATCACGAACACAGTATTAGTTTTGGAATTATCCACTACGTTGATCAATTTTTTGCAAAGCTGGACCCGCGCGGCTAACAGTCGACACAGGGGGGTACGTGGGCACGGTGATTTCGACAAAACGGATTTAGGCAACTGGCATGTAGGAGGAACACACGGAAAGACTGCACAGGGATAGGGATGGCACCTTTGTCATTGGTTTTGACAGGGCCGCGGAGCCGGGTACGCCAGCTAGTTGACTATAAGTAAATTCAGATGTAACATTTGGGATTCTTAGTAGAATAGTAGAATGCATAACCACACATGCTCCAATCAGCTCGCATGTGACGTCTTGTGGTTTGCCGATGTTTCGCTCACAACACATTTATTTCTGATTCACAATTAATAGAATAAGGGTTTCTTATGAATAATTTAAATATGATCTAATCACATTCATTATTCACCAAGACCTTGTAAAATGACGGCCAAGGTCTTGAATCTAATGGTTTTTGGCATTCATCTGGAACACTTACTATGAGTCACTTAAAGTAGCAAACTTGTTATAGCTCTTACATTTGAAGTGATAGTTTGATAAGTATAAGAGCTATCGTATTGAGCGTGACCTAATAACTGATGATTGCCACAAAGACAATGGCCACCGTGAGTTACGTTTCCCAGCAAAAATCTACACAGATTCTTATGTGAAACGTTGACAAAATCTCCACCTAACAAATCTTCCCTTTGCGCTAATTTTGCGTAAATATACTCTTGCTCACTTTTTGGGTCAGAGTCCTTGGTTTTCTTCTATACTTGTTGAGCGGATCAGCGACTTTGCAGAAAGTTCCATTCTTGATCCATTTGGAGAGGACAAAAGTTGCGTGGATTCGTTCGATGTTAGTTAAAAGGCTCCAAGTATCAAATCAGTTTGTGCTTTTGCATAGTTTGCGTGCATGCGCTTGATTGGGTGGCACGACCAAGTTTTACATAGAAGCTTGGCTGCGACTCGTCCTATGAATTTTGTAACGGACAGTATGCAGACAAACAAACAAGCGTAAAAACCCTTAACCTATTATTATTGGGTCACATTGGAGGCTTTGCGACTTACCGCACAATGGTTGTCGTCGCGAAAAATTTGTAAATAACTACTCATTCAAAAGCTTTTCTATGTAAGAGCGGTAACTTTAGGAGGAAAAAATTTTGTTGCCAGAATGATTGCGTTCAATGAATTGCGAATCTGTCATGGCTTGATAGTTACCACGATGACAATGACTGTCGTCAGCTAGATTCCTATGCGAATCTTTTCGAATTCTTACGTATCTACCTTTGCAAATCGATCAAACACGCTGTCGTTTTCTGGGACCGTTCTCGCAAAAGAGAAGACGATTTTTAATTACTTTTCATGCAAAATTCATTGATTTAGGATATATAGCCAGGCAAATCAACAGTCTCGAAAAAAAAGTCGAAATAATAACCCAGATAATAACCCAGATGTTTGTAGATCAAAAACCAAAGAAATCTATTTGGCCCACATTATACAAAACTTCCATTTCATCGGATCATCTTGTGGTTTTGCACAGTGGACCAATATGCCGATGGAGTGCCGGAGCGACACTATATAAAAGATATTCCTAAATCTGACATCTCTGCTTACGGAATGCTTTTGAAAAAAGGTGTGGAAAGAGTAAGATTTGGCAGAACTCAAACCTGCAAACCTCTGTATATTTAACGAGCACAGACGAGCTGCTCAGCACCCCTTGACGGTTGCTGCAGGGCTTATATATCAAAGATGTAGAATGGTAAATTGGTA